TTGAAAGAAACATTTCTTATATATGGCAATTTTGTAAAATTTGAATTAAAAATAAACAAAAGAGATGCAATCTTTATTAAAATATGCTTGTAAAAACTGTTATTGTAATCAAATCCATATATGTTGTAAATGTTATTTGTTAGTATTGCTGAAGATTACATTTAAACTTAGAGTTCACTTCACAATTTTATATTTTATATTTGCATAAGCCCTATCTCTAATATTATTTTCACCCATAAATATAGCATACCTTAAACCTACACTTTTATCTCCCTCTCTCTCTCTCTAATAATAATAATAATAATAATAATAATAATAATAAGAAGAAGAAGAAGAAGAAGAAGAAGAAGTTCTAACAAGTACAGCCCACACTTTACGTAGGGCTTTATCTATCTTTTATCTTTTTTTGTTCTCGGTGGAAAGTGTCATGATGTCATTTCTAACTTTACGTCCCTGGGCGGGACCCGGAAAGAAATGTGTAAACGCCAGAAATCAAAGAAAAATAATAATAATAATAATAATAATAATAATAATAATAATAATGAGGTTCACGATGACATGCTAGCATAGCTATCGTCGGCCCACAAAGGGTCCCATCTACCCAATTCCACTCACATGGCTTGGGTCAACCCGTGTATCGTATCGTTTCCATATATATTTCCATATATATATATATATATATATATATATATATATATATATATATATATTAGAAATCGATTAAATACGAGGTATTTGTTTAAGCTTTATTCAGTTTACATTTACCGGATCATGAAGTTCTAGATGGACGAGAGGTCAAGGCAGGTCAGATCTAGCGGACGCAAAATTTCTCGAATATTCTTGTCGGTAAATGTAAATAAATGAAGACACTGTTTAAAAATAACAACAGAGCATCAACTCAAATACGAGCTTCCATTAAAAAGAACGTTTAAACAAATAAATTAATATTCTGTTTATACGTTATTTTTATTAAAGTAAATACCCTGCTTTTTAATTAAACAGCATTAATAACATTTACCGGCCGGAATATTTGAGAAATTTCGTAGACAATATGAGTTCTCCGAGAGGTATCGAACCTGTAACCCTTATGGGAGCCGTCATAATGTCTGACGTGCTTATACAATTCAGCCACTGAGAATTCAGACTTTGATTACTAGACGCTTCTATGTACAACAACAACAAAATAAAAAAATTAAAAAAATGGCAATTTTGCCAAAATATTTTCCTGTTTTAACAAGGAATGAAGTTGGTTGCCGGTTACATGAATTGACCAAACATATTTGAATTGCATCGCGGCTCGAAGAGTGATGGTGTCAGCTTTACTGAATCTATCATGAAATTTCAGGGTATGGAATTAGTAAATACTAAATACTTATCCTAAAGAACGTATTTTCGTTAGGCGTACCCTTAACAATATAAGATGTGCAGATCACACTGAGTAGATGGCAGGCACGGAAAGGAAACTATAGGATATCCTAGCCAGGATGGTATCGTTTGGTTTGGTTTATTTTACGGTATATTAACCTGAATGGGTTTTTTTTTTTTAATGCTGACAATATTTTTATTGTTGGTAATTTTTTTTCCAAAATATATTATGTTAATAATTTCTTTCCTAACATATATTGTTGGTATTTTTTTCCCAAAATGTTTTGTGGGTAATAATTTGTTTTCTCAAATGTATTACAGGAATATTTTTTTAAATCTACTTCAGGTATTATTTTTATTCTCAAATGTATTGTTGGTAATAATATTTTGAAAAATATATTGCTAATATTTTATTCATAAACTTATTGCTGTAAATTTTTTCCAAAATATATAGCTGAATAATTTTTAATGTATTGCTTTTTTTAAATAATGTATCGCTGAAAACTTCTTTCTCTCAAATGTATTGCTGAAGATAATTTTTAAAAATGTATTGCTGGTAATAATTTTCTTTTTCAAAAATGTATTAGCAGTAATAAATTTTTTGTAAAAAATGTATTTCTGGTAATGTATTTCTGGTAATAATATTTTTTTCTCAAATGTATTGTTGGTAATATTTTTTCTTAAATGTATTGCTAGCAATAATTTTTAAAATATGTATGGCTGGCATTTTTTAAAAAATGTATTGCTGTAATTATTTTTTTCAAATATGTATTGCTGGTAATATTTTTTTTTCAAAATGTATTGCTAGTAATAATTTTTGTTTTATAAAAACGTATTGGTACTAATAATGTTTTATCCCAATTGTATTGCTGGTAATATTTTTCTAAATTTATTGCTGGTAATATTTTTTTTTTTTTACAAAAATGTATCGTTGGTAATATTTTTATTTTCAAAAATGTATTACTGGCAATATTTTTTTTTTCAAAAATATATTACTGGTATTTTTACTCTAAAAGCCTATTTTTGGACTTTCATGGTGTTTTGACCATTCTTTGGGGGTTAGCTATCTGCCCATAGCTGGAAACCTAATGGTTTTGAGGGAATGAAGTCTGTTGGTCTTAGCGAGGACCATCCTTCTTTGAACCTCATAGACTGGCGCTAAAGAGCCACAAATAAATATAAAAGAATATAAAAGAAACTATATTATTTTAGAATGTTCACGACTAGCAAAAAGTAAAATACATAGTTTCCTGAAAAAATGGTTTTGAGGGAATAAAGTCTGTAGTGTCTTAGTGAGGAGCGTCCATTTTCGAACATGGTGGACTGGCGCTATATAATTAAAAAGAACTTTAAAACTATATTATTTCAGAACTTTCACGCCCAGCAGAATCTAAAATGGATAGTTTCCTGAAATAGCACTGGCTGCTGGGTCAAAGAATGTTGAACGTTTTTTTGTAAATAAACGTTTAATGTTACCAGTAAATGCTCAGATAATTATTGTATTCTATTAGTTATTAAAAGTTTTAATGGTCTCTCTAAATTTGGGAGGCACATTTTGAATAGGTTCCTGGCGAATGTCTTTTGAGTGAAATGCGTTCGTCAAAAGGCTTCTGTGATCGAATTTTGGGGTATGTATATGGACAACAAACATTTAAAAAAGAAAATGAGGAATCAAACGGAAAAATATAGCGGATAAAAATGACCACAACATTTTTAAATATAAAACATGAATAAATTACTGAAGGGAAAATAAAGAAGCCAATCGAAATAGGTTGGGCTTTTTAAAAAAAATTCCCTTGTATTTAAAACAGTGTTTTGTT